CTGTCCTAATTTACGGGACGCGCGCAGGGAGAAGAAACGCGCGTCCTGTTGGGCTTTTTTTTTTATCTATCCGCGCTCGCGCTTGCGAGAGAGAGTCGCGAAAAGTCATCTCGCATGCAAGTGGAGGTGTTTCGCGTGTACGTTCACGTGTGTATACGCACGCAGATGCATGCCGGTTACGTCGTTCTTCGAGCGCCTTGTGCCAAAGGGTACTGAACCTGACCCAAGGGGCATTGCTCTTGCGCTGCGCGTCTCTCCGTTCCTTTTCTGTTAGATCGCTACACACACCGGTCGTCACGTTAGCCAAAGCGAGCAGGTATCATTGCGAAAGGCTTGACTTGGTACTCACGCGGGATGGCAGTCAAAAATACGCGCCGAAAACGCGAAGTTATAACACGCGCGTCTCTCTCTCTCTCTCTCTCTCTCTCTCTCTCTCTCTCTCTCTCTCTCTCTTTCTCTTCTTTCTCGCACGAATGCGCTTAATTTCGCTCCGAGACACACGCGCGTTACATCCTCGGCCTCTTAAATCGGCTCCACGTATAAAAGCCAATTATTTTACGTACGTGTAATTTTTCTTTTACAAATTTCACACGCACATGCGATCATTTGACAAATAATGAATTTTGAGAAAACGCGTGAAAATTTTGTCACATATTTTAAAACAATCTCTTCTTTTTATCAAACGGCCTGATAACGCAGCTTATATTTTACTGTTGGTTTCCATGATTTTTATTTTGAAGAGATTTTTTAGTATATATTTTCTCTCTCTCTCTTTGTCTTTGTTTATACATTTTGTAATATTACATCGACATCTTCTCTTTGGACATTTGCGAGCGAGGGAAAGAGTGTCGCGTAGACGAGTTCTGACAAGATGTTGTCCCATATAACTGGCCTTTCACCTTTGAAATGTACATATATATATATATTTAATATTAAAAATTTAAAACAAAAGATTCACGCATCTGATTGACATGGAAAAATATCCACGTTTTATATGCAAATTTATACGTGACAAAAACATAATAATAATTTATCGATTGTTTTGCGATTGGTATAAAGAGATAAAAAAGAAAAAAAAGTGAATAAGATCAGCGTTGTTGACAATTAATTAATTAGATTAAAGATAGATATTGTGGCAATTAAATTTGTGCTCCCTCTCTGTGATTAGCAGAAACTCGAAAAGACAACACAAGTCGAGTAATGCGAAACGATGTCGGGCCGCGAGCGTTATATAGATGCAAACATTCGTCGCGCGCATTTGCCTCAGGGTTGTTGTACGATTGCGCGAGCTCGTTGGGCAGTCATATAGTCACTTCTAGCAGACATCCAAGTACTAAGCACTCAAGGACACATTCAGTCGCTTTGCGTCTGGTTTTTTTTTTTTTTTCGCTAAGACCGTTAGAGGTTGCAGACGGTCATGGCGAAATGGAGGACATTTATAGGCGAACGTTCTAGTGGCGATTACAGCAATCGGATGTGGTCATTCTCGGTAGACAAGGAACATGGTTCGCGCGCACCGATGATATTATTTTTATTTTAATTATCTTCCTTCCTGAACAATTTGATGAGTAATTAGTGTAACACATATCGGAGACTTCGAATACGCTATTCAGAGAGTTAAATGTGTGTGTGTGTGTGTGTGTGTGTGATTTGATTTCACATCAAATAATTAATTTATAAATCTTTTTAGTTTTTAGCAAACGGGAATTATATTCGACTCTTCGGTCGCTTGTTTCTAGAAATAATTTTATATAGCCAAAACAAAAAAAAAATAAAAAAATATTTAAAAGAGAAAGAAGATACGTCAAGCGCGGAATAGAACAAGTCGGTTTTGAGATATCCAAAAGTAGCGTGAATATTCGATTCGTGACGCATCTTTTTGACGATACCGTTAGAGGTCTCAGACGGTCAAAATAATGAATTTTTAATCTCTCTCTTTCTCTCTATGCCATAACAGACCTTGGTCTATAGTCACGCATGAGATAGACACGGCCTTGAGTTATTTTGTCTAAAATGATCCGAGAGTTAATTATAACATCATAGGTGTTGTTGCGTCTGGACGGAACCGACTGAACAAAGTGCGTCATCCGGACATAAAACGAAAACGTGATATGGTATTAAATATTTTATGTTTTTTATTCGCTCCCGTTAGTCACCTTTGTATAAGATCGAGTATTCGACACTTGTTTTTTTTTGTTCGCCTTAATCGTTGAAGCCGAAAGATATTACGATATCCGGTATACAGTTCAGAATCTCGAGAAAACACAGAAAATATTATAATTAATTCGCGTTACAAAAGTTTTGACTTGCAAAGTGTTTCGAGTCTTATACTCGAAAAAAAATTCCGCTTGCATCGTTCTCGAGTTAAAAAACGTTCGATTTATAGAATTGAATCTCTTCTCACTTCGTCGAGAATCTGAATCTTTAGTTCGGCTGTGTATTAAAATTACGCTATGTGACATTTGCTACGCAGAAGCTAAAATCTGAAAGACCGGCCAATGGAAATACGTAATAATTCATCGTCGAGTCCGGGGCTTTAATGCGTCATTCGTAAATTGATCGTGAATGTTTGATGCACGGACGATAGAGAAAGAAAGAGAGAGAGAGAGAGAGAGAGAGAGAGAGAGAGAGAGAAAGAAAGAGAAAGAGAGAAGTGACGACCTCGCTTCGGAAGCCTTCAAGGTTCTCAAATGCGATTTGCACACAGTGAATTATTTCCGGGTGCTGTTTGCGCTATCGTTTATGCTAAACAGCGCCAGGTATTTCGTCGAGGTTGCTAGTAACATTTATTATATTTAAGGTGTAAACACACACGCGCGCACACATGTCACACGAACATATTTACTTCCTTCCATAGCGCTTGCATTATTAATGTCAGTCATACTTTGGATCCTCATGCAACATTTATGGCCCGCGGCAGTTTGAGAAAAGACATCCGCATAGGAGATACGCGCGTTGGCTATTTGAATTTTACTTTGACCTTTTTTTTCTTAAAAGAGAGAGAGAGAGAATAAAAACCGTACAGAGATAAAGAGCCGGCAATTTCGGTGAATATGTACATATACAGAGAGAGCCTTTGAATTTTATCTTCTTGTTTTTAATAGCAATGCGAGAGAGAGAGAGAGAGAGAGAGAGAGACCAGTGACGTTACAATACCCGCTAACTAAAACTAATTTGTGATAAATGAGCAAAATAACTGACAGCGTTCGCCGATGAGAGAGACGGAAACGCGCAGCAGCTGTGATGGATTTCCATTAAAATTGGAATTCGCAAAATTGCAGCTTCCTAAACACATAAAGTCATAAATCGTTCGTTAAAAAAAAAAAAAAAAAAAAAAAAAACTAATCAATAATTTCAATGACTGATTTACGTCTCGTCGAGAAGTCGAGTTTCAAACACACGACTCGCGAGGTCTTGTGAATATACAAGTCGGGAAAGAGATAATATCTATCTTTTTTTACAGATGCGTTCTCTCTTCTCTTTGTTTTCCTTATCTATGTTATTTCTAGAAAGTCGACTCTCGTTTGCAGCAAATCGTTTACGTTTTTTTTCTCCGATAGAGAAAAACGCGTCACGAAACGCGGTGAAGCCGCAAGTTTTGTACTTGTGTTTGCATGACGGCGGTCAGCGAAATAATATTGACATAGTGTTGGCAAACGAACAGAGACCTCCTTGTGATTCTCGTAGTTTGAGATAAGCTAATCTCTATCATAGTCTGGTACGCCGCGCGAGCGCACAGCAAACAACGAACCTTATCACTTATATACCAACGTCATTCGATAACTACGCTTTCGTTGTTCCGAGCTAAAAACCTAAATTTGCGGTTGTAGTATCGCGGCGTTGCGGTTTGATTGCTCCTTGAGCGTTGAGCTCGGAGAGAAGAAATCTGATCGTTATAATAATACTACCGTACAGAAAAAAAAAAAAAAGAGAAAGAGAGAAGAAAAGAAAGGGAGAAAAGGGGACGTGAAAAGAGAGAGCAAAAGAAAGCGAGAGGAAGAGAAAATGAGAGAATAAAAGAAAAGTGACTCTGCTAGAGGGTTTTAATTACACATTATATACGTTTGTCAGAAAGAGAGAGAGAGAGAGAGAGAGAGAGATTTTTATTAATGATTTAAAAGATACATTAGTAAGTCTCTGATAAATTATTCTCTTGAACAAAACAATAAAAGGAAAGACTTTGAATTTACTTTTTAATACTCGACTAATTTTATTGTTAACACACGCGTTTAATTGTTTAAAACAATTTATTCACAACGGAGAAGAAAAAAGATAGAGAGAGAGAGAGAAAGAAGGTAAGTAAAGAAAATAGAAAGAAAGAAGAAAAGAAAGAGAGAGAGAGAGAGAGAGAGAGGATGGAGGAAGGCCGACTGACGCGAAATAATTGACTATCCGCGAAAAGGGTCGGTGGCAAATAACTATAATTTCTTTTAGACCGGGGCTCCCCACAGCCGGGGTTTGAGCGAAATGGACA